TTTTAAATGCGATTTATTTTGTCCGCTTTGGTGCTCCGTAGACGGCCTCAGACACAGGCTGTTCCCTTTGCTGTGCCTGGATCTTTGCCCACAGGATGAATCTAATAAACGCTCTGTGATGTTTTCAGGCTGCTGGAACAAATCGATTGAAGCTCGATTCATGTAAAGTGCAGATTCTCGGGTCCTGCGGGACTCTCTGGAGCCTCTGCTCAACATTTACTCATCAAATTAAAGTCAATACTTGTAAAAATGAAACGTGCCAGATGCAGAAAACACTAAATAATGAGGAGGTGACGGACAGCGGTGAGAAGAGGAGGAGGACGCGGTTTCTTTAAAGGCGTTTAACGGCAGCCGAGCTTAGATCCTCGCTAAGACGCTCTCCGGGCAGACCCGGCGTCGCTGACCTGCTTGGCAGCTCGTCTGGAGGAAGATTTGGGGCCTAATGACTAAAAAGGAGAGCTCATGAATATACAGCTGTCCTTCAGCGCTGCCACGGCCCCAAAATAACTCAGAGAATTTGGGAATGTGGAGCACTTCAATCACTTAATTCCACTCAGTGAAAGGAGGAATTAGCTTCTTGTCGTCTCCCCCGTGAGGCTCTCAGACGAGCCGAGGACGACGGCCTCAGCAGCTCTCAGAGCGGCTGCTTTTTAAACACCAGCAGCAGAAGAAAAGACGCCTGCTGTCACTCCCATGAATTCAAGTCATGTTTTATTCACAATCGGACCAAAAAATGATGTTTACATGTTGTAATGTCTGCAGGTTTGGCAGCAGAGTGATGCAGACGATGTACATCAGCTGCAGTAGTGAGTCAGTGCAGGCGTGTGGCTAACGTTAGCGGTGTTTCCTGATTTTAAAGTTGATTAAGAGCGATGCATCGATGCACTTGATGAAAACACAGATTATTGTCTGTGATGAAAACAATCCTGTTTCAGTCGAGGGAACCAGAGCGGCACCGATCCGGTGTCTCGCAGATGCTTCAGCCAATCACAGGAAGTGAAACGCCAGCATTAACCTGTAACTGAACTACGACGTGGACACACGACTGCTCACTGCACCATCTTGTGGTGCAAAGTGGTATCACACCAAAGTACAGCGCGGCCCTTTGTCCACACTTCGGCTGACATCACTGCGGCTCCTTTCTGCTCACTTTGGAAGGTTTTTAACTACTTTTAAAGACACATATTTAAAATAAGCAGCCCTATCGACGCCAGCGTTCTCATTTAGCCTGTCATTAGCAACCTGCCAAACTCTGCTGAGACCTGTGAGAGCTTCAGAGGTCACGAGTGGGGTTCTCGCAGACCCACGCTTCATGCTGGAGAATATTTACAGCTCCAGGAAGCGCGTCATAACGCTGGTATTGAAACGCGCGGTACAAACAAACTTTATTATCACTGTTATTATCTGTTTGTGTCTGAGCTGGAAAAGCGTTTGACTGCACGTCTGACGTGTTCTTCATTCCCTGATCAAAAATCTACAGATTTCAAGTCTGAATATTTTCCAACAACACTGCAACTTTAGAAGCTGTTACACAGATACGACAATAACAGCTCCACGGTTAATTGTTCCCTCTCACTCACGTGTCTTATCTGCAGTCCGGTGTTGGGATGTCAGCCTCAGATGTAACGATCAGTGATGATGATGATGATGATGCTCGGGTTTCACTTCAGAAACAGGACTTTAAAGCTTCTAACTCCCAAACTTTTTCCCATGTGAGCGCTTCAGCCGTTTCCCGTCATCACACCCTCTCCTCTCAAAGTATTGTTCTAATTTTCACTCTCCACATTCCTCACAGCAGCAGCTCCATCAGTTCAGTGAATCAACAGTAAATCATCCAGACTGGGAGGAGGTCTTCCTCCTCCTCCTCCTCCTCCTGTTCTTTCAGCACATTATTTTCCCATGAATACTGCTGAATAATGTTCTTTAATTTAAACCTCAGTGGCCGCCCCGGCACACTACATAACTCACATTTCCTGCAGGACAGTGAGAGCTGCTGCACCTCCAAAACTTCCCTGAGAGGTGGAGATGCTTCAGCCCGATGGAGCTGCAGAGAAACCAGACCTACAGGTTGTTTTACTCCGATTAAACCTGCTTCTGTTCACGATGATTCATTAAACCACATCGGTGACCACCCATGTGTGGAACATGAGAGCAGCTAGTTTTGTAGTTTTTGGCTCTGAAATCTCGTTTGTTACACGAAAATCTAAGAAACCACTCATTCCATCGCATTTTGTCGCACCGCGCCAAACTCCTTTTAAAAATATGGCACTTTAACGTTTCTTTGCTTGCTAAGCACAACACACAAGGTAAATAATATTAAAGAAATGCCGTTTTAAAAATCGGGAACAGCGCTTTAATTCGGCTGATTCAGTTCCAGCCCACACTTACATTTCATAAGCAAACAGATCTCTTTAAAAGTCCCAGCCTGTTGTTCCCGGTGATGAAGAGCAGCAAGGATCCACGGATGGAGTTGGGATCGATGACAAAGATGAGGACCGGTGTGTACGCGGTGTGAGTGACCCCGACACACGGCGTCGGGATCAAACCCGAAACGTGCGCAGAAGCAGCGAAGCAGTGCGGCGGAAAACCCGCAGTTTTTAACCGGAGTCCGGCGCACCGCACCGGGGCTACATTACATCACTTCTAGCAAACTTCACGGGAGAACAATGAGGGCGAAGCAGCTTCGGCGGGCCGGGCTGACCCGGGCACAGCCTCCAGCTGGCAGCACGGAAGCACGGACTCCGGCCGGACGGGGAGCCCGGCAGCGCCAGCGGGTCCCGGTTGTGCCCGGTACCGACAGCCCGGTGACACTGCTGCGTTCCGAGGCTCGAGCTGAACACGCAGGCGAAAAAGCGGAAACATGGAGGCATGAAAGGAGCTCACCTGTGGCCGGAGCAGCGAGGCAGAGCCCGGGGGAAGGCGGCCGGCGTGTCCGGGGAAGGAACGGCGGCGGAGGTTATTGTGTTTGAAGCTGCAGGACGGAGGGGGAGGGGTTACTACCTGCAGCATGGGGCGCGAGCACCAGCGCGTGCGCCGGTGCGATGGTGTGCGAGCACGTGAGCGCGTGCGTGCGTATGAGACGGAGGCTTCCGAGGACTGCTGCTGCTCCTCAGGGTGATTCAAGTAAAAGTCAAGCAAAGGTCCTTTACTGAACCGGGAAAAACACCGAAACTAAGCTCCGTTGGTCACGCTCACGTGTGTTACACCTGCAGCAAAACACGTCATAAAGTGCACGCTCAGCCGCTGAGCCAGCATTACCTGTATATAAAAGATGGACATTTTTGCTGCCAAGACAGAAGAGCCCTGTTAGGACGAGAGGGCGGAGTTACAGACACTGATAGGTCTGTAGTACGGTGACCTCACAGCAGCCATGATATTGGTCACATTATGTCATTAAAAAGGCTCCATCAGCACAAACACAGAGCGAGCAGCTACAGCTGTCTGTGTCACCATCCACCTGTCAGTCACAGAGGCCACGCCCCTAATAGCCATTCGTCTCTGCCTCCTGAAACGAACCCCTGATAAACTGTTCGTCTCTGTTGTCCACTATGTGAAACTGTGTGCATATAGAGGTACTCTCCTTCTCTACGTTCCTCTTTGACTTCCTCTTATCGCGTAACAAAACTTTAATATAGCTGTAATTAAGGTGGAAATGATCATTTGTGTATCAGACTGTAAACATTTCTCATGTCAAGTTTTAACATGGGAGTCTATGGGGGCTGACTCATGCTGGAGCCTCTGCTGGACACTAGAGGAACTGCAGCTTTTGGGACTACAGCACTGATGCTTTAAAGTTATCATTTCGCCCCCCAAACGTCCTCGAGTGTGTATATCTAACATTTTTCTCCCTCACTCTCACTAAGTAACACGCAAGCAGCTTTTATAATGACGTTTGTTCTGAAGTATGTTTTTACAGTAAACCTCTGGTACCGCCCATTTCTTTGATCCAACATGTAAGAGCGGCTGAGGGACATTTGTTGTGTTTTTAAAAAAATTATGAATGTTTTTGTGCTAAATGTGTCCTAACACTGGACCCTTTAGGGTATATTTAAGGTAATCACATGGATTTACTGTGAGATTAGGTGAATTCAGTATGATCACATTTAAATAACGTCATGAGCTTATCAGCACAGTTGTATCTGAAAACAAGAGACTAATCTGGGAGTGTGGTGGTGAAAATAAAGACCTGCAAGCTGACTGTGCAGCACGCAGCAGTGCTGAAGTCATCAGCCGACCGTGTGTGTGTGTGAGGCTCTATTGATGAGGTTATTGATCACATTCGGAGCACAGGAGGACACTTTGGGCTCAGCTCTGACTGCAGGAGCTGCACAGGGCTCATGATGCACACGTTTAAACCATCATTCATGGTTTTAATAAGTAAAAGTCCTTTCTGTTCCTTCAGTCAGCACACACTGACATGGACAGAGGAAGAAAATGTGGGGCCCGGGGCACAGCCATAGCACCCCCCCCACACACACACACACACACCCCACCTATCTGTGAGAATACAGAGTTAAGACCTTCACTGGAAAGGGCATAAAACAACTTGTTCTTATTTTTGTCTATTTTTAGTGACGTTAAAAATCTTCGGTTCCTAATGAATTTGGAGAAACACATTAAAATGCTGCCCCCTGGTGGTGAAAAAGCAGAGGGTTATTACCAAACTGCAGCTGGAGATGATTTTAATGACACATATACTGCTGTAGCTTTGTCTATAACAATCCAGCATCATAGATATTCAGTGGTGTCAAACATAAGGCCCGGGGCCCAGAACTGGTCCTGCACAGACCCCTATGTGGCCCACTGGGCAGTTTTGGAAAATATGAAGCATGGCACAGATTTTGGGCTTGTAACAGAGCTCCACCGTGGCTGTTCACACTTCATGACCAAAGTAATGAAGGAGCAGAAAAATCAGTCACATAAATGAGAGAAAAATCCTGTTTGATTTTCGACTGTGCGTTGCTCACCGTGGCCCACATCTCAACAGATTTAGATTTTTTATTTTGTAAATATGATAACACAGCAAATAGCTTAAAACTGGATTTGCCACAGTTTGTTATATTTTCAGCCTGACTTTTAGACTGTAAGGGTCACTCCCAGACTTCACACAGCTGCTCACATGGAAACAAATGAAACCGCAGCAAAACAAAATTAATTTATGGTTTTTATGTCACAGAGAAAATTGAAGCTGAGTGACTTTATGAGTGGAAACAGCTGCAGTCCAGAAACAACAGCAGCAGCACTCGATGAACCCCAGGAAACACCAGCCCAGAGAAACGATGCTCACGCACAGTCATTAAAGAATCGTTTAATATCAGAACGTAAAGACTTGTTTCTCCTCGCAGAGGATCTGCTGCAGCCACGGTAAAAACAGGAGGAGGGCCGAGCAGTAAGTCCACGCTGTTTAATGAAATAACAGGAGCAGCTCGGCTCATGTTTGGGTGGAGAACACGTCTGAACCGCAGCGCAGCCTCAAACATTCCTCTGCTGGGAGGAATCCGCCTGGCTCTCATTAAACTGGGCTGAACCGGAGCGCAGCAGCAGACGCTTCACGCTCGCTCGCTCGTTTGTTTGCTTCTGACTTTTTAATTAAAAGCAGACGATGTCAGTGTGAAAGTGCCAAAAGACTCTCCGCTGCCTCTCTTTCTTTCTTCTGAAGTTTCTATTCTTTAAAGTATTAAAGAGACTCTCGGGAAAGTGGAAGCACCTTGAAGCTGCAGTCTTTTTGATGGCCAGCAGGGGGCGATCTCTGAGCTCGCTCAACTCTTTGATCTCGATTCACGTCTGACTGAATCAAGTTAGGAGGAGGGTGGTTTTCCACCCAGAGGGAGGCAGAATGAGCGGTGCAGAGGTCAAAGGTCACAGCACACAGACAACAGTGGTTAGAGGGAGTGTGTGGTTAAAGTGGACAGACGCCATGTTTTTACTGGGCCTTTAAACCGCAAACACGTAAAATCTGTGAATCTTCTAACGCAGCTGTTCACAGGACTAATTTACAGCTCTCACCAATCAGATCGCTGCATTCAGCAGCAAGTGTGCTCAGAATGCATCCTGGTACTGAACCAGCCTTTCTGACAAACAACCTCAACATAAACCGAATAAATCAGATCAGGAGGCGGCTGTGTCCGCCGATGTTTTACTTCAGAGGTGCAAAGCATGACGACTGAGCTCAGGACTCACAGTTTAAATCACAGCGTGGGGGAACAGCCAGGCGGATCTCAGATCTGACTGCACTGACGGGATATTTCCACTGGTGGAAACTGTCCAGCCCGTTTCTGAAGCTCCTGCTGAGATGTTCCACTGCTGAGTGAAGCTTATCGCCACCAGCTGTGTTTATCCACGCCAAAAAAAGGCACAGCGTCCTCCGAGGGCTGCCACATCAGTCTAAAGTTATCTTCTCGTTCCTGTGTTTCACTGTCCTGCTGCAGGCGGTAACAAGTGTCAGTGAGCAGGTTTCAGCTCATTTACACACAGCGTGTTCATCAGAGAGCGCAGAGTTATTCTGTTTCTGTTTGAGCCTGAAAGCTTAACGTCAAAGAAAAGATGAGAACAAAGGATGGAAACCTGAAAACAGAGCACACACGATGGGATCCAACATGTAAAGTTTCATTGGTTTAACAGCCTGAAGTGTGTGCCTGCAGGGTTGGGAAAGCTGCAGTTCCTCTGACATCCAGCAGAGGCAGCAGTGAGTCAGTGCTCATAGACTCCCATGTTAAAACTTTCCAGCAGAAATAAACATGTTTACAACCTGATACACAAACTGTTTGATCCCTGTAGATACTTTCACCTGTATTTTATTTTACTCAAGCTTTAAATTGGATTAAGGCTTAAAGTTTGCAATGTTAGGGGGCGTGGCCACTATGACTGACAGGTAGATGGTGACACAAGCTGTATCCAAATTCAGAGGCTGCGTCCTCCTCCGGCCTTCGCGGTCTACGTGGGCGGGGTCCTTTGAAGACTGAGAAGGCTGTGAAACGGTCTCGCCTTCAGATCTGCGTCAGCGCTGTCTCTGTGGAGTTTAATAAACTCGTCCGTCTGCTCCTTTCTATCTAAAATATAACAGGACACTGGAGTAAACTCTCGACCGTCTCACACTTCTGATGATCAGCTGTCTGTTTGATGTTTATTCAGCTGTGTAAAAACTAGAACTTTAATCTCAGCCAAACCGATTTACTCAGGAACAAATCAAACACTGAAAAGTTATCCAAGTGACTTATATATCATGAGGTCTGACAACGATGTGCAGGGAGTTCACTGTTCTCGCCCCGGTCAGCTATCGAGCTGGTGGGTAACAGACGTCTCTGAAAACGTCGGAGCACTTTTACAAATATGTGGTGTCTTGGTAAACTGAGCAGATATTTGAGGTTTACACAGCTACTTTCTCGCCTGAAAATGTCTTAAAACTTTATTTTGTGACCCAGAAAGAAAAATAAGAGTAATATTAAAACTAAGTAGCTGCCGCCATTGTTGAAAACGGGAATTGAGTTGCGCTATGAATTCTGGGATATGGTGGGCCACGAGGAATACAACCGACCCATCCTTCAAGTCCGGGGAAAAGGAGGACACATTTGTCGGCTGCATGTGGAGGCGTCTATGAATTTGAACAGCCTTCACCGCATCGCTGTGACGTAATCGGCCTACAGATGTGGCCTCGGGAGGACGCGGCCTTTAAACACACACAGACCTATCAGAGGTTTGTTCCTATGCAGTTTGGGTGTTTTGACCTTCACTTGGCTTTTCCT